TCGATTAAATATCATCAATACTTTCTAAATAGCTTCAAATAAAACATATTGGTAAAAGGAAAACAAGAATATCTAAGAGCGACAGATCATTTTACATTAACTTTTTTTTTTTGCAATATATTGTAATATCTTGCAATGCCAAAATCAAACAATCAACCCAAAAATTCGAAAAAATATGTTAGAGTATATATTAATATATTTTATATTCTTGTATTAATATTAATTTGTCATTTACTTTCTCCTTATAGGATTAGGTCAACCTTATATATTTGTCTATATATATAGACATTAATAATGAGAATACATCACGTTGGATTCTCTCCAACCTTAGTCTTTACATGGTATCAGAGCTCTAAGTTTCTTCTAAAATATTTGTGTCCATTAGGGTTTTGATGCCCATTAGGGTTTTGTGCCCATTAGGGTTTTGTCCCTTAGAGTTTTGTTTATTGTTATCCAACACAACTCACTACGACCGTTGCCGCCGACCACCACCGCCGACCACCACCGCCACTGCCGCCGGCCACCACCACCACCGCCGTCGCCGCCGCCGACCACCACCGCTGTCGATTGTTATTCATGGGTTTCGTCTCGCTGTTTTTCGCACCTTCGTCGCCGCTAGTCGCCGTGCACTTCCACCAACGTCAATCGCCTTCGCCCCTCTAGTTGTCGTGTGGTAGAACTTAGGGTTTCTGGTTTCAGAAAACACCTGATCCGGTTCAAGCGATACAGTTCAACCGGTTTGGTTTCAAGCGGTTTGTTTCATCCAGTTCAAGTTCGGTTCGGTCTGGTTCGTCACATTTCGGTCCGGTTTGGTTTATTTATATCGGTTCTGGTCTGGTTCGTTTGTTTATGTTCAATTGGTTTGGTTCAATTGGCTCTGTTCAATTGGTTTGGTTTGGTTCAATTGGCTCTGTTCAATTGGTTTGGTTTGATTCCCTTTCCCCCTTCAGATTTGGTTTGGTATGTTTCAATGCAATTTTTGTTTGTGTCCATATTGTTGAAGTTATGATTGAGAAGAAATTAATGGTAACGATTTCTGCGAAAGAGTTTGCTAAATTCCAACAGTATCAAAAGTCATTGATTGCATCATCCTCTAATCCAATCACTGTCATTACTGATTCAAGTAATACCAATAAATGTCTTATTTCCTCCGCATCAAAATGGGTCATTGACTCTGGTGCTACGAATCATATATCAGGTAACCCCAATTTATTTGCTACCTTTTCACCATCTACATCTTTACCTGATGTTACAATAGCGGATGGCACCACTTCTTTCATTGACCTCTGTTATAAATTTGCCACAATTTTCTTTTAATTTGATCTCTGTTAGTAAACTTACTCGTGATCTCAATTGTTGTGTCTTATTCTTTCCTGGTTATTACTTATTTCAGGATCTTACAACGAAGAAGATTATTGGCAAAGGGCATGAATCTAATGGCCTCTACACGTTTGATACACAAATACCTACAGCCACCGTTTGCACTCGAGTGCCAACTCCCTTTGAAGAACATTGTCGTTTGGGTCATCCATTTCTCTCCGTGTTAAAGAGTCTCCATCCTCAATTTCATAGTTTGCATTCTTTAGATTGTGAGTCATGCAATTTGCTAAGTTTCATCGTCTCAGTTCCTATCCTAGAGTCAACACGAGCTAATGCTCTTTTTGAATTAGTCCATTCAGATGTTTGGGGTCCTTGTCCTATTGAGTCCAAAAATGGATTTCGGTATTTTGTTACTTTTGTCAATGATTTCTCTCGTGTAACTTGGTTATATTTGATGAAACATCGTTCTGAGTTACTTTCTCATTTTCATGCTGAAATTTGAACTCAATTTGGTGGCTCTCTTAAAGTTCTACGGAGTGATAATGCTAAGGAATATTTTTCTGGTGCTCTTGGCTCCTATTTAAGTGAACA